CTGGGCCTGCGGGAGCTGGAGTCCGCGCTGGACGCCGCGGTGCTTGGTGCCACCGGGAGACGTGTGCTGACGCTCCACGTGCCAATAGCCGGGCCGCAGCTCAGGTGGGTGGGGCCCCGTCTTTCGGGCCCTGGGAAGCTGAGGCAGGAGGGTCCCAGGGAGTTTGAGGCCCATCTGGGCCCCTGGGCTCATGCACGCCCCGTGTCCCCAGCTGGCTGCACCAGGAGGCGACCGTGCAGGACGTGACCGTGCAGCCCGAGGCGGGGGCCGCCCTGGTCACCGTCATCATCAGCAGCGCCGCCTACGGCAAGTTCCGGAAGCTCTTCCCGGAGTAAGGACCGGCGGGAGTGGACCTGACGGCCTCGGAATGGGGCAGGCAGGTGTCGTGGCCGCCAGCGAGCGCCCGGTGTGTGTGAGGAGAAGCTGGTCGTGCCGGGCGAGGACTGACCAAGCACCCTGGAGGCTGAGGCAGGAGGATCACCGTGAGTTCAAGGTAGCCCTCAGGTGCGTCGGTCCTGTGCCTCCACCAGGACAGGGGCCCCCTAAACAGGACAGCAAAAGCAGCCTTCAAAGCAGGGTCTGGGCTCAGCGTCCCCCAGGCCGAGCAGGAAGCCTGGCCCCCAAACTCGTCTCCCTGGTGATGAACTCCTAGCAAAAACACAAGGTAGTGGAAATAGGTTTTCCTTTTTATTATTTTATTCTGTGTGATATTTTTAAAAAGTGTTAGGTGAAAATCATTTCAGAAGCCAGGCCTGCTGGGAAACACCTATGGTCCTGAATTCGGGAGGCTGAAGCAGGAGGGTCTCCCTGAGCGAGACCCCTAGGGAGACTCGGTCCCCAAACATCCCCAGTCCCGCTGGGGTCGCCATGGCCAGGCCATTGGGTCCTCCCTGCAGGCGCCGGGGAGGAGGCCGGGCTGCTCCCCCGACCACTCTGTCACCCCCGGCCGGTGGCGTGGGCCCTGCAGCAGCTTCCGGTTGAGGCTGATGACATCGGTGACGAAGGTGTCGGCCCCCACGAAGTCCCC